ATATCTCTGTTTAAGTCTATTCACAGTCAATCCAGTCTCTAAAATAAATTCAAATTGAATGTAAATAATTCAAATTGGAGACAATGTAATATCTAGCAAGTGCACAAATGCAAGAATGAATGAATGAATTAATGAAGTGCTGTATTACTGATGCACCGATCTGAGTAATGATTTATTATCCAGACAAAGCTCTGGATTACTAACTCAGGTTTGTCTACATGCCACTTTATTTACCAGAGAATATTCTGGGTAAATATTAACTTAGGAACCTGCTGACCCTTTCCACATTCCTATTAGGTCTTCAAGTGCTTCAGATTCAGCTCACAGACAGTAATGAGATTTTACATTGAGTCTAATGAAGCCTGGCGGTCTGCCTTAAGTCTCCAAAGATATTTATTAAGATAGTGGCTCCTTATCACACCGGCCCACAGACCAATCTTTCTCTGAGGTCATGTGTTCGTGTTTGACGGAGCGTAAGAGTCTGAATGTGTGTGTTGCATACAATATAAAAGGCCTAAACCTGCTTTAAGTAACATCAAAATATATTTTCTTAGATCTTCTGAAGCATTCAAGCTCTGGCTTTTTTAAGCATTTTAAAGAGGCTTTGCAATATAAAGAGAAGAAAGGAGAAAAGTAAAAGAGTGATTGAGAAAATGGAGGGAGGAAAAAACAGGGAGGGAATGTGAGAAGATGAATAAACCGAGGCATTAATAATTAATAAGGAGATGATGCTGGCCTTGTATGACCTTATTATGGGATAAATCTTGTGCCAGCAGGATTTGAATTTGAATTGCTCAGATTGAATCTGAATGTGCATAATTTGTAATTGAATGCATTGGTTTGAAAATGAGTTTTACTAAATTGAAACTGAATTTAATGTTTTTTTATCTGAATTAATTTGCTTTGAAACTGTATTTTGGTCTATTAAAAATTAATTTTGACTACTTTCACTTTCACTTCCATAATTCACTTTCAGTTCCRAAATTCAGATTTTTGTGTCACATCCTGGTCCTTGAGAAAGCCAGCCAGAGTAATCAAACACAGATCCACAGATTTACGTTTCACTTTGGTGAAGTTTCCCTTCTGTATGTAACAGAGTTGATGYAATCCACTGTAAAAGTGACAAAAAACAGACAAAGGTGTTTTATTGCAGTGATTAATTGTACCTACAGTATATGTAGAAAATGTTACATTTACATCCCGTCATGGATCACATATTGATCAGATGCTGCTGCTGACTGATCCATGATGCGATGTAAATGTAACATTTTCTACATATAGGTAAAATTAATCACTGCAATAAAATAACTGTTTTTGTCACTTTTACAGTAGATTGCATCAACTCTGTTACATTACGGAAGGGAAACTTCACCGAAGTGAAACATAAATCTGTGGATCTGTGTTTGATTACTCTGGCTGGCTTTCTCAAGGACCAGGATGTGACACAAAAATTTTAATTTTGGAACTGAAACTGAATTATGGAACTGAAAGTGAAAGTAGTCAAACTGAATTTTTAATTGACCAAAATACAGTTTTAAAGCAAATTAATTCAAATTCAAACCATTAAATTCAGTTTCAATTTAGTAAAATTCATTTTCAAACCAATGCATTCAATTTCAAATTGTGCACATTCAAAACTCAATTCCTGCTGGCACAAGATTTATCCCATACCTTATGCATGCCCACACACACACACACACACACACACACACACACACACAC